ATCTATCTATCTATCTATCTATCTATCTATCTATCTATCTATCTATCTATCATCTATCTATCATCTATCTATCTATCATCATCCATCCATCCATCCATCCATCTCTCTATCCCTTTTATTCTATGGTCTATGTTTTCTATGCATTCCAGGTATTTGCAAGCATTCTGACTATTATTTCTTTTATTCCATTTTTCTACAAGCCTAATACGGGAAAGGACCCAAAGAAAGGGCCAAAGGGAGATTTGGAAAAGTATATTATCTAAATCTAAAGGACTTTTATTTCTAAAATAAAGGACCTTGGGCCATTGTAACCATTGTGCCTCTCTGTCTCTCTTCTTTCCCATTTTCTTTAAAAAGGATTCTCCGTTTTATTCCTTTACCTCTTTATGGACGATTTCTTTCCCCTGGGACGCAATGGAGGAGCCGTAAGCCATGGCAACGTTAGCCACGGGGTCGGCAAAAATCTGGTTGAAGCTCATGTCGATGCCAGGTGGGGGGTATCCAGCCTGGGGCGGCCCGTAGCCGGAGCTGGTGTCATCAAAGAGTTGAGGGGCATCTGGAGATTGGGGCACAGGGGGGATCCTGGTCCTATGCTTGGAGACTTTGGGGGCGGGAAGGGAAAAATTAGGAAGAATTAGAAGAAGGGAACAACGTTGTCAACAGCGCAACAACACCTTGTCAACAGGTAATAGGATCCAAACAAGGATTCACACTCGGTACAGGACTAAGTTAATGTACTAAATCTACCCTTCCGCTTTAAAGTTTGTTTTTATTTGACATTTTCCAAACATTAAAATCACAATGACTCTTTTACAGCTTTCCGTCACTGGTATTTTATTTTTATTTTATTTTTTTATTTCAGGTTTTCCGTTTTCCATTCTATTTATTATCTTATCCATCCTTCCTCTTTGTCGTTTTTTACAGTATATGCACCTACCTACAATATTTCCATCTCTATGGCTTTCTACTGAATATGCCACCTCTTTTCATTGTGTTTGCTAGGCGTTCCTTATGCATCGATTTTACATCTCTTTTCGAGCCAGTTTAAAGTTTATTTATCATCCAATTGACAAGGGGGCTCAGAATGCAGGGAAAGCACAAATATTTTCATCTTTGTTTAAATAATGCCCTTTATTTTTTATTTATTCCCCTTCTAAGCCACTTCAAGTCCTCCAAGTGACACTAAACCACCAACAAACTACCCGAAATCGAGTTTGGCACCATTCAGAAAGGGATCCCCAGATCCCTTTCCCCTATATTGGGGGTTGCAAACTCCCCAAAAAATGGGGTAAATTAATTCCCCAACTGGTTCAAGTGGGCGGGGCGATTGCATTCAAAGCCATTAAAATTCAATTTAAAAAGGGCACCCCGGAAGGGGCTTTGCCAGCCGGATTTAGGGATCCAGAAGGATCTTGCGATCCACTGGGGATCCACTGGCCTCGATTTCAAGGCTTTTTATCCAAAAGCAACAGGCGCGAAGGGGGGGAGTTCATGCTGGATCTCCTCCCGCTCTAAGAGCCCCCCCCCAGTGGATCCCCACTGAGGATCCGCCCGGCCTGCTGCCCTCCCCGTTTCCCTTCCCCTCCCTCGCCCCGATTTTCCTCCCCCCTACCTGGACCCCCATATCCAGGGGGGTAAGCCATGGCGCCCCCTTCAATCGCTTCCTTGCCCCGCGCGGAAAGGATCCTTCATAAAATAAAATAAAATAAAATAAGAATAATAAATCAAATAAAACCCAGCGCAGCAAAGTTGCGAAGAGATCAAAAAAGAAGAGGAAAAGGTTCCAAAGCCACGTCCTCAAAGGCGCCGGCGCGGCCAAAAGCGGCCGCTCCCATTGGCTGCCGCTGTATCCTTTTGGCAGGCTCCGCGCGCTGATTGGCGGGCGGTTGTATCCATTTCGCGGAAGGTTCCAAAGGGGCGGGGTTCGGCTCGCCTGGCGTTCTAAGCCCCTCGGCGCACGCGCAGAAGGACCTTGGGAGGCGTTCCCGGCAGCTTTGAGGCTGGGTGGAGCAGAGCATGATGGGGGTTGCGGTCTAGCTGGCCTTGCAGGTGGGAAAATGCGTTTTAGGGTTCAGGGAGTCGGCAGTGGTATGGTTGTTTTTTTTAACTCCCAGAGGCTCGCTCTGATTGGCTGAGCAACAACTCCGGGAAATATGGCCGATCCCGAGCGGTGCTGGGAGTTGTAGTTCCGCAATAATTTGCTAAGCCACCTTCTTAATGGTAGTCATGGACTTCAACTCCCAGAATTCCCCAGCCAGCCATGCTTTTAACCCTATATTGGTCCCTGGAAATATAATCTTAGACTTGTGTCTCTAGACTTTGGCAACTTTAAAATAGGTGGACCTCAAGCCCAAGAATTTCCCAGCGTGCTGGCTGCAAAACTCCCAGAGTTCCCCAGCTGGCAGGCTTGCTAGGGAATTCTGGGAGTTGAAGTCTTGCTGAGGGCAAGGGGAAAAAAAGGTAGAACCCTATTAAAACTGGGTAGAAATCCTATTGTTTTTCGGTTCAGGATGATCTCCTTGGTGGATCTTCCAGGATCAGTTCTGGGGATCAATCTCTGTTCAGGATGATCTCCCTGGTGGATCTTGGGGATCCGTTCCGGGGATCCATTCAGGATGATCTCCCTGGTGGATCTTTGGGGATCGGTTCTGGGGATCAATCTCTGTTCAGGATGATCTCCCTGGTGGATCTTTGGGGATCGGTTCTGGGGATCAATCTCTGTTCAGGATGATCTCCCTGGTGGATCTTTGGGGATCGGTTCTGGGGATCAGTTTCTGTTCAGGATGATCTCCCTGGTGGATCTTTGGGGATCGGTTCTGGGGATCAGT